GAGGGGCCCTTCCTGAACCAGCCCAGCTCTCTCCCTGCCAATAAGGGACACTCACAGAGGACTGCCCACCTACTGGCCACCCTGCACGTCCCCACAGCGCCCTCCAAGGCGCCAAGGGGCCGCCCTGGAGGCTGGGACAGCCTGCGGCCACACGGTGGCTGTGCCCAGGAAGTGGGCCCAGTGCCAGCACCACGCAGGGAGCGCCTCCTCATGGGCCAGACAGGAGCCAGGACAACCAGGAGTTTCTGCTCTTCCTGACCCTGGTAGACACCCAAGGAGACACTGGTGGGAAGGAACAGAAATGCTGCAGTGCATCCAAGGGAGGTTGGGGGTGGAACCATGAAGAGACAAACGCAGGAAACACCACGCCCTACACACAGGATGGCATCAGAGTGCCCATCACAGTGTTTACACACCACAGTGCCAGTGAAGCCCGCAGGGTCCCAGACGGAAGCCGACAGGCATCGTGAGATGGACACGCCGCTGAGCATCAATGGTGAACGGTGAACCCAAGAGTACTCACCCACATCACAACGTCTCCCCTAAATCATGTTTGGGTTCAAAACAATCAAACTCCAATCACAGACACATCAGAAAAATAACCCTGGTAAGGAAACGCCTTATGCAATTCGGTATGTCAAAAGCTGTACCCGGAGACAAATTCAGAGAATTCAGTAGGTCTTAAAGAAACACAAAGAAAACAAATGAATTAAACTCTTGATTCAAGAAGTTGAAAAGAGTTTCTAAACAAAACAGGCACCAGCAAAGGGAAGGAAGGAATTTCTAAGAGATAAATTAGTGGATTTAATGAAAGAAAGAGTAGAACTTGCTGATTACACTCAGGAACTGATTTTCTTTGAAAATACACATTAAAAAATTAACCTCTGGCAATTCTAATCAACAAAACGATGGAAGAAAGGAAGGAGAATGGCAGTGAGGGAAGAAGGGAGAGAGGAACTTGGGAGGGAGAGAAAACTCAAAAATATAGTTATTGGGAATGAAGATATGGAGAAGAAACAAAAAAAACACACTTTGTAGGTCTGCGCTAAAAGACTGAAAGCAGTTTGAACTAGGATATTACCTAGAAAATACAAGTAACCAAAATACACTAAAAAAGTTTAAAGCATGGAAAGACCAATAACCATCGTACAAATTAAGTAAGCTGACAGCCAACTAAACCTCAGAGAAAAGTAAAAGCAAGCCATAGCTGACGCAGTTTCCAAAGTGAATTACTTCGGGCCTTGGAGAGCGCGATGATTTTATATTATATTTAAACCAGTTCAGCCCCACGGTTCGCATTGAAAACCTTTCCTGTTCATTGTATGACGCTAATGTAACGATGGTTTATAAATGTGACAAACATGTCCCCTAATAGAAAATTACACGGGCCCTGAGGAGCGCCTAGGAAGAAATACAGTCAGCAATCCTGCGAGAGCGGTGCCTGGTGCAGGGGAGCCGTGTCGAGGGGAGCGCTGTGTAAAGTACATGATTGTCTAACCACTAAGCGGTTCGCCCAGAACCAATACGTAACAATAAAAAGGAAAGCACGTATGAATTTCTGCCTGTGAATACAGATGACAAATACCCTGCGCGCTCTCAGGCACAGCCGAGCCTGACCCCCGGGAGTCAGTCCAGGAGCACTGGATGCTCTCGCTCCGAAGAGCTAATACGTCAACACGTTAACAAGCCCGCGGAGACAGATGTGTGACGGTTTTGCTGAGCACGGGAAAGCGTTCGATGAAACCGGATATGAATACCCGTTCTTGGTGTACCCTCTTGGCGATTAATGTGTGAACGGAGCATACTGTTCATGAAGAAGAATATTTATTGGAAATTTAAGGCCAGATTCAGACTTAACCGTAGAGCATTAGAGGCCTTCTCATTAAAATAAAAGCATGCCAAGGCCACAGTCATGATTTAACGTTGCTTTGCACCTTTTAGGAATCACAGAAAATAAATAAAAAAATACGTTAGAAATGGAGAGGTGGAATGTATCGTATATGCTGTAATGGGATTAATTTATTGGGTTTTCCAGGAATCCAAACTGGAAATCTGTTCCAGCTGATGAGAGTTCAATCATCAATTACCTAACACACAATATCTAAAAACGAACAGCTTCCCTACCGGTCTCCCTGGGCTCAGGGGTCCCCATCCCAGAGACATTCCCGCTGAGTCCGAGGGGAGCAGGAACTAATGCTCACTCCAGTGGCCTGAGGGAGGGGGTGGAGGGGGTGTGTGAGCAGGGGCCTGCATGTTGCTGGCCCCGGGTCCCTGGCTCTGTGGGTCTCTCAGCCATTGGCCAGGGACACGGTGTCCCCAGTGGCCTGCTCTGTCACCCAGGGCTGCCCGGCCCATGGCACGGCACCACTCCGCCCTCCGGGCTGGCCTGCAGGCCTCCAGCTCCTTAGGAACTTCTCTCCCTCCACTAAGGACACGCTCCCAGCCCAGCGCCCCAAGGGCGAGCAGGCTCTGGGGTCAGCCAGGCCCAGAAAGCACGCGGGCTTCCCCTGTTCCTGGTGCTGCTGCAACCTCTGACCCCTGACCTCCTGGCTGACCTCAGGCAAGCCGGGCCCCGGCGCCTTAGCTTCCCTGGGTGTGAAACAGGCCACGTGCTGTTTCCAGACTGCGGGCTTGTTCTTTCCTTTCTTCCCTCACTCACTCAGTGACCAAACACCCATGAGGCCCTGCTGACCCGTGCCTCACCCTGGGAAATATAATAGAAGCCAGGGACCTCCGTGTCTGCCGGGGAGACAAGTGTAACATCACAGTGCCGTGTGCGCAATTTGGGATTAGGGGTCTTTGCTGGGTGCTGAGGAGGAACAAGGGCAGGAGAACTAACGCTGGAAAGAGAAAGCAGCCTGGAGGAGGTGATTTTTCAGATGGGCTTCTAAGGATGACCAGGAGTTTCCCACTGGGCTAAGCGAATGAAAAGCAGGGCAACATCACAGATCTCCAGGCTGACCCCCCAGTCCCGAGAGACCTAGCCCTCCTCTGGTCACTCCCAGCAGTCACCCTGAAGGGTGAAGTCCAAGGAGCCCAGAGGTGTGGACTCATGGGAGTCTTCCTGCTTAGCTCACCATGAGAGCCAGGACCCTGCTCCACAGGTGCCAGCTCCATCCTGCGCCCAAGTCAAACCCTGCCCATCCCAAAGCCAATGCATGATTCTCTCCCCAGAGGGCTCCCTCTCCCCCTGCTGCTCAGCCCTGGAAGACTGGTCCCTGGCTTGATGGGTATGCGACCTGCAGGTGGCACTGTCCCCTGACTCCCCACCTCAGCCAGCCCCAAGGCACACAGCAGCCCTGTCCTACTGGACGAGCCAGCAGCTCCCCTTCCCTCTCCAGGTGAAGCTCACTGAAGGGCCTCCCGGCTCCTCGCAGGAAGCCCAGCTGATGGGGGTGAGTGCATGGACAGGCCACCCGGGGCCAGGCTGTCCTTAGGCAGTGGGGACAGGTGTAGGCAGTGTGGCCAGGAAATGGCAAGGGCGCACCGGGCAGAAAAGCTCAGGCTCCAAGTTAGCACTCCAGGCCAGGCCTCCCCTGAGCTGGGACTCTCCCGGGGAGGTCACCTGGCTGCAGGGCGGGTGGTCTCACCCATGTGCCACCTCCAGGACCCTCCACCCTGCACAGCACACACAGGAGCCCTCCTTGGGGCTCCAGAAACAACTGCGATGCCTGCTCCCCAACTCTATCCACTGCCTCCCCCCACCTGCCTGGTCCACCTGCATCCTTTCTCCCCTCTGCGGAGGGCCATGCTCTCCCTCCAGCGGGGACACCTCCTCTCCCCCCGCAGCACCGCACCCCTGCAGTCAGTGAGGCCTGAGCAGCGCCTCCTCTCCCCCACTGCTGCCTCCCAGCCTGGCACCCTGAGCCCCCGCACCTGCTGGCCCCAGAGTCCTCGCCTGCTCTGCTCCTGACACGGCCTCCAGTCCAGCCCTGGACACAACCCTTCCTCTTCAAAGCCTGCCTGGTCCTTCCTGCTGCGCCCTCTCTCCACTCCCCACCTCAGGTGTCCCTGGGTCAGACTCCATGCACAGACACACAACATCCTGTCCATCCTGTCCACCCTCCCCAAGTGCAAACAGCTCCTGCGCTGGCCAGGACTCTGCGCACCAAGTGGCCGGGCCCCACGAGCCAGGCTGAGGATTGTCATGGCCGGTCCCAGAGAGGCCCTCCTCTGGTGCCCCGGCTGCACTCAGCGCCAGCGCAGGGGGTTGGAACAGAGGGCACACCGGGCCACACTGCGGGGTGCGGTGCGTCTGAGAGGCAGGCCCCATAAACAGCCATGGACAGGCAGCACTCACGCTGGGACTCACCTCAGGGCAGGTGTTGGCCTCCCGCCAGCAGAGAGGAAGCTGCCAGCACCTGGACTCCACTCTCCTGACCCCACAGGCATCTGTGCCTCCCTCCCCCCCCCCTGCCCCCCAGTCCTGCCCCACACACCTCCCTCTCTCCCCCAGACACCCCCTATACAAACAGCACAAGTTTCACAGGCTCTCACTCCGCCCACGGGCCTCCTCATCACAGACCCCCCTCCCTGGGCCTCCTCCGGGCTAGCAGGTGGCCTGGCCCCGGAGCTAAGGCAGGGCCCAGGGACCTCCTGGTTCCACCAGTCTGACTGCCGGTCCGGCGGCCACCCTGTCTGCACCTGCTCCAGGCTGCTGTCCCTGCTCCCTGGCCTGTTCCCCGCAGGAGTCCCTGCCGGGCGGGCTGGCCGGTGTCGCAGCCACAGCCCGTCAGGAGGGCAGGCGGCGGGCCATCCTCCGTGCTGAGCCCGGGCGCCGCCCGCCCGGCGGCAGGTGCCCCCGGAGGAGACGCAGAGGTGGCTGTGTGGGAGGGGGGTAGAGGGGGGGCCTGCCTCTGGGCCAGACCGGAGGTGTGCGGGAGGGGCCGTGGGGTCCCCTCCTTCCCGGGTGACAGAACCTTCCGGGTCCTGTGCAATGGGGTCTCCCCGGCGCTTCCCGCGGCGCCGCCCGCAGGACCCCACCTGCCCGCCCCGCCTACCTGGGGCTCCGGGCGCATCCCGGCCGCTGCGCCCCGATCCGCTCCCCTCCCCGGCTCCGCCTCCCGCTCCAGCCCCGGCGGGCGGGGCGGGGTGGGTGGGGGGACCGCGGGGGCCAGCGGGGCCAGAGCCGGGAACCCGGGCGGGAGAGCGAAGCCAGGCCGGGAAGCGGGCGGGGGCGCGGGGGAGGCGCCGGGAGGGGCCGGGCGAGCGAAACGCACAGCGGGGGCGGGCAGGGCGGTGCTGGGCTGCCGGGCGGGACGGGAGACCCCGCTGCAGAGAGCCCTGCACCCCATTTCCCTCCTCCAGCATCCCCCTCCCTGCCTCACCGGCCTCGCCTCGGGGATGTCCAGGGCACAGCCGGAGGGGCGGGACCGCGCCGGGCTTGGCTGCCTCCGGACGGGCGAGCACCCCGCACCGCCTGGCGCGTCCCGCGGACCCTGCGCCCGGCCCCTGGTGAGCGGGGCGCCGCTGCTCCGGAGGGAGGCCCGCACACGCGTGGGCGGCGCTGGCACAGGACACCGGGGCGCATTCCACCCCGGGAGCCCGCTCTGGAGGAATCCTGCCGGTGACAGGTCCCCTCCGCCCGCTCCTACCCCAACCCGGGCGCGGAGTTTGTAGGGACCAGACGGACCGGCCCAGAGCGCCCCCTCTGGGAGCTGGGAGCTGGGAGCCCGGCGGCTGGTGGGAGAGGAAGACCCATCACTAGAGAGGAGCAGGGACATGGTTTTTCCTCAAGGAGGAGCCAGGGTGCCCAGAGAGGTCAGGCCCTGAAGCTCAGGAGAGGCCCTGGGATGGGGAGGGGACCCCTGTCAGTGTCCGGCGGTTCCCAGGATGCCCACCTTCGCTGGGTGCTGCAGGAGACAGCTCTCCTCCCGGCTACCCCCACTTGTTTGCCAGCCGCCTCACCAGTTAGGAGATTAAGTTTTGAAAACACAAGTGAAAAAATAACTGACAGCCGATTCCCAGTTCCTCCGTGGCTGTGGGCCCGGGATAAGGCCCGTTTCTGGACCTCGCCCCGTCCCCTTACAGTGGAGAAAGGGACAGCCTCACTCCCCAGTAATTTGCTTCGAGGAATGGGAGGCCGTGCTGGGTCCGCGGGCTGGCCTGCCCCAAGACGGTGCAGGAGGTCAGAGCGGCTGTCCTTCTCCTGAGCTCTGTCCCAGCCCCATGCTCCCTGCTGGGCCTGGAACTCTGCTCTCGCTGCTTCAGCACCTGCCGCCCTCACCATGGTGGGCAGTGGGCAGAGAGGGGGTACCAGGCAGAAATGGCCACGCTGCCTTGACCCAGGGGCTCAGTTGGAGCATCATCCTGCGCACCAATCAGGTTGTGGGTTTGGTTCCCAGGTGGGGCACAGATAGGAGGCAACCGGTCGACGTTTCTCTCTCACATCAATCTCTCTTTCTCTTTCTTCCTCCCTTCCCCTCTCTCTCTCAAATCAATAAAAAGCACATCCTCGGGTGAGGATTAAATAATAATAAATGGCCAGGGCTGCAGGCTGCTAGCACATCAGCCCCCAAACCTCCACACACCTGCTCCCCTCTGCCTCTGCTGTTCCTGTCGGGCCAGCCGGAGGGCGCAAACTCCAGTGGCCTCTGCAAGGGCCTGTGGCACCATCAGGCCAGTCGGGCATTGGGGTCCTGGACCTGCACGGATGGCTACAGAGCACCAAAGCGGGTGAGCTAGGTCTTGCCCTAGAGACGCCTGCCCCACCTATCCCCGCCGCCTCAGCCCGGCCCCACAGCCCTGCAGGACATCTGGTCGCTGCGGTGTCCATAGTATTGTCTCAGGGAGTCCATGTGGGCAGTTAAAGCCCCTCTGCCACCTGCACCCCGAGAGAGCCTTCCCCTCTGCCTCTGTGACAGCCAGAGGAGGGGCCGCGCTGGCGCGGGTGCCTTCCTGTACTCACCGAGTGGTTTCCCAGGTGCACTCACCCACAGAACTCGCCTGCTCCCCCAAGGCTCCCCCAGAGGAAGGAGGACCACTGTCTCTGCCAGGAGCATCCTCACAGACATGGTGGCCCTCTCCTCTGCTCACAGGGGTGAGCCGGCGGCGGTTGTGTGTGCGCCTGGACTGCATCTCCATCCTTCCTAGCCCGGGCTGCAGGGACCGGAGTGCCAGTGCTCCCCCTGCTGGCCGCTCCCTGGCTTGAAGCTGTGGGAGGAGCTGAGGGCGGATTCCATTACCTTAGTTAGTCTCTTTGAGTGCTGTGCCTCAGCTCTGCCATAAAGCCTAGATGAGTCCCCAAGCAGTCTCATGGCCTTCACTTCTCCCCTCCTTACACCCCACAAGCTCCGCCCTCCCCACAAGCTCCGCCCCCCAGCTGGCACACCAGAAGGCTCTGCCTGGAGCTGGCAGGAACCCTGTGGGAGCTGCTTGGAGGCAGACAAGTGGGCCCCGGACATAGTGCCCTCTACACAGGCTGGTTTCTATTGTCTTGGGACATGTCGACTTGATTTTTACCTCCAAGACTTGATTTTTACCTCCAAGACTTTTACCTCCCACCCTCCAAACTGTCCTCGTTCCCCCTCTGCCCCAATGCCTGTCATAGCCTCTAGGAAGTCTTCCTGACCCTGGGAACAGCCTCAAGGGCCACACCTTGGACTGCCAGCCCACGGACAACATGCACCTTACGCCCTAGTCTTCCTCCCACCACCTCTCACGGAAGGCGAGTGGCTCCCCACAGGGCCTCTCTGGGAGAATCGGAGCTCCTGTCTAGGCTCCTCGAGTCAAATGTTCTGTGTGAGATTAGTGATGTCTGACCAGGTGAGGGTGTGGAGGAAGGAATCACTAGGGCCCTGGGACTGCATTCATTTGTGGGTTCTTCAACAATTGGCTGGTAATTTACATTCCTAACTAGCGTAGTCACTTAAACACACACACACACACACACACACACACACTTCTATTGATTTTGAGAGAAAGAGAGAAAGGAAGAGGAAAGAGAGAAATGTCAATGTGATAGTAAAACAATTATTGGCTGCCTCCTGCACACCCCCTACCGGGGATCAAGCCCACAACCTGGGCATGTGCCCTGATGGGAATCGAACCAGCAAACCTTTAGTGCACAGGGCGATGCCCAGCCAACTGAGCCACACTGGCCAGGGTGGATGAGCATTTACTAAGTGTTAAGTTCTCAGAGACACAGTTCCTGCTCTGCTCTCAGGGTTTATCTCAGGGCCATGGGATGCAGGATGGTCAACACGTAAACAAATGAACAAAATTATAACTGGAGCCGAAACTGGTTTGGCTCAGTGGATAGAGCATCAGCCTGGGAACTGAAAGGTCCCGGGTTTGATTCCAGTCAAGGGCATGTACCTTGGTTGCAGGCACATCCCCAGTAGGAGGTGTGCAGGAGGCAGCTGATCAATGTTTCTCTCTCATCGATGTTTCTAACTATCTCTCTCCCTCTTCCTCTCTGTAAAAAATCAATAAAAAATATATATATTTTTTAAATTGTAGCTGGTGATGACAATGGCTATGGCTGGAAGCACTTCACTGGTTCCGATGAGGTTGAGGTTGAACTGTCCACCAGCAGCCTGGAGCTGCACCCCCCCTGCAGCCTCCCCACAGGCCCCTCGGAGGCCACGCCAGGGCTCATGCGGACCCTGATTTTGCAGATCAAAGTTTTATTTCCACTTTAAAGGGGGAAACAAGGATGAGGCCATCTCGTTAGGATGTGAATCGGGGTTAGGAACCCTCCCTTCTTCCCAATCTCTCAAAATCCACAGCTGCAGGTGGGGTTGGGAGTGTGTAATTTGGAAATATGTATTCCCTTTTACTCTTGAACATTCCCAGAAGATGTCCCAACACTGACGGGGCAGAAATAGGGTGTTGGGACACCAGCTAGTATTGTAAGAAATATTAATCATGCCCTGGAATTGTGATTGTTTTATTCGGATCAAAGAAGGCACATTCTCACCTGGTTGGCAGCCACACTCGGACGGAGAGCTCACCTGGAAATCCCTCCCCACTAGGAGCTGCCCATTATCATGGAAAGATTAGTTTTCCTGCAGACACCAGAGCCAGAAGCCAGAATCGCCAGGCCTTTGAAGTCCCCAGCCCTCTGTTCACCTGTTCACTGCCCATTTGGCATATCCTTTGGCTACTTCCCCAGGGAATCTTTGGCCTTTTACCCAATATAAGCAGCCAGCAACCAATCAAGGGCTTGGATAGATTAGGGAGTATTTGCTGGCACAGAAAAAGTAGCCGGATCCCAGTAAGAATCAAAGCTTTGTGGGGCGTTAACTTGCCCTAGTCCCACCCCAGCTCCTTAGCTCCCAGGGCCGGGAAACCCCACACTCGTCATGAAAAGCCTGGGAGCTGCTGTGGGAGCTGAAACTCTCCCGAGGCCTCACTCCCAGAACACTGTCATTGTTTCCGCTAGCTCCTGAGAGATCCCGTTGGCATGAATCCTGTGTTTGACCTGGTTCAGAGCTCACCCAGTACAAAAAGCCTGTTCCCCGGGATTGATTGTCAGAGCAATTACAGGCATGTAACTCCTCAGCTGCCTGAGGCAGCAGATAACAGTTGGAGCGAGCAATAATTAAAAAGCTGGAGAGACAAGGCTCAGGAATGAGGTGTCCACAGGAGCTTCAAAAGCTTGCAGTGGATTCCTGGAATCCAGAAGGCCGCCTTCATCGTGTGTCTGGGCTTGTGCACATGCTCACAGGAGCACTGAGGAGATCCTGAGCCCTCACCCTGGCCGACTTCGAGGCTCTGAGCAAACAGGAAATGAAGGCTCAGGCAGAGTTCCCATCCCCCCGGCTGAGGACGAGGGGTGCCCACATGCACACGGAGCTCTGGGCAGGGACTGGGAGACTTGCTGGTTCCAGGCATTGAAGGAAGACTCTCTGTCTTTGTTAAATGACAACTAACATAATGAAGCAGAAACTACAGTGGCTACACACCACCAGATACAGACTTTGCAGAATTAAATCAGAAAAGTCACTAAACAAACAACAACGTCTTCAAAAAACATCAATGACAGCAACCCTGAAGAGGAGGGAGACTCTGACTT